CAGCTCCACTTCCCATCCAGCTCCCTGCTTGTGGCCTGGGAAAGCAGTCGAGGACAGCGCAAAGCCTTGGACCCTGCACCTACGTGGGAGCCCCAGAGGAGCTCCTGGCTCCTGATTAGCTCAGCTCCAGCCATTGCAACTGCTTGGGGAGTGAACCATCTGACAGAAGATCATCCTCTCTGTCTCTCCTCCTCTCTGTATATCCGCCTTTCCAATTAAAAAAAAAAAAAGATAATCCCCAAACAGGGAACCTTCAGAGAAGCCACTGATCCACACAATAGAAACAAGATGGTAAAGGGGAAGGAGAGTGGGCTCAAAACCCATCAGCCTCCAGGCGGCAACTCACTCCTCTGCACAGTGTGCTCTGGGTCCACACTGTGACCCAAAGGCGTGCTCCACGGAGACAACACACTTCAGCATGCTGACAGCAGTGCATCCCGATCAAGAATGCGAGCCTGAGAACGTGCCACTCTGACTTAACGCAGGCAGAGGGACAAGACACACACCATGTCCCTCTCAAAGTCACAGGAGCCGGAACACACAGGGCTGCAAGAACCCGAAGCCCACACCCCTGAGCTGCGCCCCTTCCCCTCCTCAATCGGGGTAAGTACCAGGAGCACGCCTTCTCTGAAGGCAAAATGGAGAGTCACTAAAGAAAAACAGGCCCTGCGGGCGTGTGAAATAGACAGGACATGACTCAGAAGCAAGACAGGAGTCTTAAATACAGGGCAAAGGAAAAGCAGTCAGTCAGACTCCGGCACGCCTCCGCCCACAGGCTGCACCGGGCCTGCCTCCCTCAGACGGCAGAAGCCCCGTGCTTTTCCACTCCCCTCACACTGCAGGGAGGGAGCCCTCTAAATGCCTGCTTTTTTTTTTTGCTCTATAGTTTGCTACTTGTTATTTTTAAAAGAAAGATAACATCAATCATCTATGAATAGTAATACTACGCTTATTTCAACTGCGCATGTCAGTGGTCAAAGTCACCAATGAGCTGTAGTACGTTAACATGTGAGCATGCATACACACACACACGCACACACACACACACTCTCCCCCACCCCCCTCCTCTTGAATAAAAGCACACCATGCATCCTAAAGTCAGTCAGTCCACTTGCCCTCTCCAAGGTCCAAGGATTGCCAAAGCTGAACCATGAAGAATGCGCTTCAGCAATCCTGACACAGCGGGCTCCTCTCCATTCCAGTACCAGCTTCCATTATGCTTTTTGAGAGAGAGAGAGAGAGAGGTAGAAACAGAGAGGGCCTGGCATTACAGGGTAAGGGGTTAAGGTGTCACCTTTAGTAACAGCCACCAGTTTGAATCCCAACTGTTCTACTTCCAATCCAGCTCCCTGCTAACACATTGGAAAAGCAGCAGAGCATGGCCCAATTGCTTGGGTCCCTGCATCCAGGTGGGAATCACAGAAGTTCCTTGATCCTGGCTTGGGGTTGGCGTAGTCCCTAAGTGTTGCAGTCACTTGAAAGGTACACCAGCTCTGTGTGTGTCTCTCTCTCTAATGCGATTTTGAATTAAATAAAAATACATCTTTAAAAATAAATAAAGAGGGCCTGGAGCAATAGCCTAGTGGCTAAATCCTCGCCTACCATGCACTGGGATCCTATATGGGCACCAGTTCATATCCCAGCTGCTCCTCTTCCCATCTAACTCCCTGCTTGTAACCTGGGAAAGCAGTAGAAGCTCTGGGCTCCTAGCTTCAGATCAGCTCAGCTCTGGCTATTGTGGCCACTTAGGGAGTGAACCAGCAGATGGAAGATCCTTCTGTCTCTCCTCTCTGTACATCTGACATTCCAATAAAAAAAAATCTTTAAAAAATTAAAATAAATAAATCTTTAAAAATAAAGAAGAAAAATAAGAAAAAGAAATTTTAAAAAAGGAAGAAAGAGAAGGGCTGTGGCATGGTTCAACATGTTAATCCTGCACCTTCGGATGCTGGCATCCCCTATGGGCACTGGTTCGTGTCCTGGCTGCTCCACTTCTGATCAGCTCTCTACTTATGGCATGAGAAGGCAGTGCAAGATGGTCCAATGCCTTGGGACTCTGCATCCACATGGAAGACGTGGAAGAGGCTCCAGGCTCCAGGTTCCTGGCTTTAGCTCAGCTCACTTGCAGCCACTGTAAATACTTGTGGAAAGAACCAATGGATGGTAAATCTTTGCCTCTCTGTGTCTTGTTTTCTGTAAATCTGCCTTTCTAATAAAAGTAAATAAATGTTCAAAAAAAAGTAAAGAAAGAAAGAAAAGAAGTTTTTACGGGTGAAAAAAAAAGAGACAAAAAAAAAAAAAAAAAAAGGAAAAACAGAGACAGAGCTTCCGTGCACTGGCTCCCTTCCTAAATGCCCACAACAGCCAGGGCTGGGCCAGGGCCAGGGTCAGCAGCCAGGAATGCAATCCCACAGGGTGGCAGGCACCTAATCACTCAGCCATCACCGTTGCCTCCCAGCATGTGCTTCGGTGGGAAGCTGGAGTCAGGAGCCAGGAGTTACACCCAGGCTCTCAGATGTGGGACAAGATCTAAACCAGCGAGCTGATGCCAGTTACCACCAGTTATTATTTCTAACAGGAAGAGGACTAAGATGAAGAGCGCAGCCCCTATAAAAACTGTTGAAATAACAACATGAACAACATCCAAAAAAAATGTTACTACAAAATGTAGATACATGTAACCACCAAGACAAACATGAACCAGGATATAAGCAAGAGATACAAATTGCCACAAGGTATATTTAAAAGTGAACTTCATACCAATCCTTTCCTCCCATCCCCACAAACAAGCTCAGCTCCTGAGCTAGACTGCATGGGTTGAAATCCCAGTTCTGCCACCTGCGAGGTGGGTGATCTCGAGCAAGTTACTTCACCATTCTCATCTATGCCTTCACTTTCGCATCTGAAAAGCAGGGCTAGCACTGTACTCCATATGGTTGTGATGAAACTAATTAACACATGTAAAGTACTTGCAGTAGTGCCAGATACATAGCGCATGCTTGATAAGCACCATGTCCGCCTCTTCCTCATCCCCCAACTGCAGAGAACATAACTCTACAGCCTCACAGTTGGGCCCGGTGCGGTGGCGCAGTGGTTAAGGTCCTCTACAGCCTCACAGCTTCTAGGAGGTCACTGTCATTTCAGCATGACTTGAAATAGCATAATGAGGATTTCACAGTACATATCAAATCGTTACTAGCCAGAAGTTGTGCCTCATTTCTCAAACCTCAGGCCAGCAGCCCAAAGCAGTACAGATTCTCCATAAAGAAATAGCAAGTTCAACTATGAAGCACAAGTTCATGGTGTGATCTGATGACTAATACTTAGGTCAAGCAGTTAGCCAAGTACATGAATATATTAACTAATCTGATCATCACAACAACCCCATGAGACAGGCAGCCTCACCAACCGCACTGGTCAATGAGAAAGCCGACATACACAGAGCAACGTAACTGATAAAAGTCGCTAGACTGCAAACGGCGGGTCTGAAGGGCTGCTTGGCTCAGGGTCAGTGCCCTCAGTGGCTGGCTCTGCCCTTGTTAATTGCCACTGCCAAGAGGGCATTCACAAGTTTTCAGGAGAGTCTCAACCTTCCAGAAATGCAGTCACAGCTAAACAGCATCAGTTCTCTAGATATCTGAAGGGAGTGGAGTTGGTCAGAGTGATTTGGGTAGTGGCAGGGAAGACAGAGAGCAGAAAATACAGGAGTTCTCCACCAAATCAGATCTCTCAGGGCAAGCAGACACTGGTTCTGGAACAGGCTTTCCTAAGAAGTCTGTGTCCAATGCCACCCTGGGCATGAACACCAAGCACCAAGCAAAGCAGGGGCCACATTCACTGCACAGCCAGGCTCCAGCCATCTCCCCTTCTCTCCAGCAGCAAGCCCACTTTTCCCAGGCCATGTTTAGCTTGGCACATGAAACGGATTTTGTTTTCCATGGGGTTTGATCACAAAGAGACCACAAAGGAAGAAGGGAAAGAAGTTGCCAGAAAAGGGCAAGCTCCACATCCTGACCTTCAGTCAACTTACTGGTGTCACAGCTCTGTTATCTAGCCAGGGGCTCAGAGAGGAAGGGAGGTGAGAGCCACAGCCAGGATTTGACGGTGGCAAGCGTCTGCTACCTTAAGCTGATGGCCCCGTTTCCAACCTGCCCTTCCTTCACTTCTGACAGCCCTTCTCCCAGTCTGCATCCCCACAGAACCCCAATGACCAAAGCAGACATGCTGCAAAATCACTGTAGGAGGGCCCGGCGCGGTGGCGCAAGTGGTTAAGGTCCTCGCCTTGCACGCCCGGGATCCTATATGGGCGCCGGTTCTAATCCTGGCAGCCCCGCTTCCCTTCCAGCTCCCTGCCTGTGGCCTGGGAAAGCAGTAGAGGACGACCCACTGCTTTGGGACCCTGCACCCACGTGGGAGACCCGGAAGAGGCTCCTGGCATAGTATCGGCAGTTGCGCTCCCTTGGGGAGTGAATCATCGGATGGAAGACCTTCCTCTCTGTCTCTCCTCTCTGTATATCTGCCTTTGCAATAAAAAAAAAATAAATAAAAATAAATCTTTAAAAAAAAAATCACTGTAGGAGCTGGTGGCCGCAGGTCCCCCCACGGTGCATGAACACCCTCAGAGATGTTTTCTCATGACTCCTGGTCTGCTTCCAGGCAGCATGTCAAACTGAAAATGGGATGGGGAGATCTCAGAACCAGGGAGCGTGTGGGAAAAGACTTGTGACGGGGATGTGTTCTGGGGACTTTCGGCCTGACCTCCCCGCCCCTGCCTAGGTTTGCTCGCATGGTGAAGGCACACAGCCTCAATCCCATGCCAGCTGTCCAAAAGCCTCGCCATACAAGTAAAATGCCAACTTAGGGTCCACAGGCAAAAGACAAGCTCTTTAGAAGAACCCCTTCTCACAGGAAACGATTCTTTGTGAAGCTTGGAACCCATGAACCCTGTTCCCAGGGAGGGTGATGCCAGACGGCTACTTGGTCCCTGGAGGCCACCTTACCCGCTCTGGGGTTGGGCTGGCCCAAGTCGCTACCTCCTCTTCTTTCCAAGCAGACACTGATTTCTTCCAGTCCCGGTGGCCCCTTGGTTGGGGCAGATGCGGAAAGGCTGGTCTAAGCCTGGAAGAGGGGCATGGGACGGCCTTCAGTTCCCTTGTCGCCAGACCTGCCCACCAGTCCCAGCTCTCCACCCCTCCCAGTGGCCGGCCCCGGTCCCACGCTCCAGGCTTCTTGGCTCTCGCCATGGAAATCCTCCTCCACTACGTGACTTCCTCCCGAGCCGGCCACCCGCGCCCACCCCCTCCCCGAGGGCAGACCCCGGAGTCTAGGCCCCCTCCGTCCGCATCCCTTCTCTCCGCCTCCAGGCCTTCCTCCTTTCCACTTCCTCCCCTCAGTCCCGGAGCTCGTCCTCTACTCTTCGCTAGGTTCCCTGCAACGCGTCTCTAACTCCAGCCTCCCCGCCCGACTACTCCAAGCCCACAACAAACTTTCCGCCGCTGCCCGATGCCTTCAGGCCGCCATCTTGCCGCGGGGCAAGCCGGGTAGCAGCCAGAGCCGCGGGAATCCCCACGCACGGGGCGCCGCGCGTCATCGGGGGCGGGGCCGCGGGGCGGGGCTTCGGCGGGGCGGTGGCTAAAGCTTGGGAATCTCCTCCGAGTAGGATCTGGAAGCCTCACCTGGGCAAAGGGTGATGTCGGGAGCAGGGCAGTAACAGGAAGGGGGCAAGACCCTGGTATTAAAAGAAAATACCCGACGCGATAGCCTAGTGTCAGATCCTCACTTTGCATCCCCTGTGGGCCCTGGCTGCTCCACTTACCATCCAGCTCCCTGCTCCTCAGATCGGCTTGACCACTTGGGGAGTGAACCAGCAGACCTTTCTGTCTCTCCTCCTCTCTGTACCTCTGCCTTTCCAATAAGATAAATAAGTAAATCTTTTAAAAAAAAAAAATGGAAAAGAGAACAGAGCTCAAAAAATATCGTGGAGAGTTGTTCTGCTTGCCCAGCCCCCCAAGCACGAAATCAGCTTTGCATCTTCTTAACCAGCTTCTCCCACCTTGCCACTCTCACTTGCCACCTTTCCCAGATTAACCTGTGTTTGGAAGCCATCGGGCCTCCCTTCTACCTTCCCTTTGGGGGCTGCATTTGCCAGGCCGCTCTAGCGACCTTCTGAGCGGGACTATTCATGCGCACGCTTGCTCCTGCAGGGTGAACACTGTGCTACGTTCTTCATACTCCCTCCCAGGCATCAGGCACACCATCCATGCCTACTAGATAACCAGTGTGGCTTCCGGCAGTGCACTCAGCACATTTATTCCGCAGGGTCATTAAGCTTGTTGTCCCTTTTGCCTAGAATACTGTCCCACAAATTGATTTCCATGTCACCACCTCAAAGAAGGTTTTTCTGACCAGTCGAACCCCGTGTGCTTTGTTACCCTGCTTCAATCTTCTCTTATGGTGCTTCATACTACCTGACATTCCAGCAAATATTCTTAAAAAAAAATTATTTGTTTATTTTTATTACCAAGTTAGATACACAGAGAGAAAGATCTTCCATCCGATGATTCACTCCCCAAGTGAGCACAATGGTCGGTCCTGTGCTGATCTGAAGCGAGGAGCCAGGAGCTTCTTCCAAGTCTCCCACACGGGTGCAGGGTCCCAAGGCTTTGGGCCATCTTCAACTGCTTTCCCGGGCCACAAGCAGGGAGCTGGGTGGGAAGCGGGGCTGCTGGGATCCCAGAACGTACAAGGCGAGGACTTTAGCCACTAGGCTACCATGCCAGACCCAGCGAATATTCCTTTCTTGACCATCTCCCCTCCACAATCCAGTGGTTTAGAACTTTTCTCTTGCTCATCATTGCATCTCATGTGTAAACCAACGCCTGTGTAGGTATTCAGTAAATGTTGACTGGATGGCAAATGGCCTAGAGGTGCATGAGCAACAAATTTTAGAATGCTGTGGTTTGGACGAGTTGTTGAAAATACTATCAAATATACAAAAAAGAGAGAGAAAGCTGGTCCCATTTGGCCCCAGCAGGAAGGATAGCAAAGACAGACCTCATCTCTTGCCAAGAAAGCCAGGTGGTGTTCTGGAACTAGATCCTCAGGGAGCAAAGCTCCTCTGGGAGAGCCCAGGCACCAAGGGAGCCAGGCAGAGGAAAAGGGAAGGCTGCAAGACGAGGAGTTAACTCTGACCTCACAACAACCTCCACCCCAGCCCAGGCCTCTCTTGGCCAGATGGTTCCGGAGAAGCCTTCGCATCTGTCCCTCCATAAATTATCCAGGGCTCTCTCCTGTCTGTCCTCTCTGGTGACAGCCGGAACAATTGTCCAGGAATTCCATCTGCTCCCTTCGTCCCTCTCCCCTCCAGAGCTCATCAACATTTTAGAGCAGAGAGGTATCCTGTTTCCTTAGGCCCACAGGCAGGATCTGGGTCGGCTGTTGGGGGAGCTGGTCAGGAGCACCTGCCGCTCATCAGCGCGCGCACACACACACACACACACACACACACACGCGTGCACACACACACGCACACACAGGTCAAGCCTCAGCAGAGGTTCCCAGATCTCCAGAGGGTAAGTTCAGCCACTTTGATTTTCCATCTCACCCAGATCTTTCTAGCCATGTAGCTTTAAAAATGTGAATCCAATAAAATTACACTAAATAAACCTGGCAAATTTTTGAATAAAAATTTCCTATTGTTATGCATCTCCGTATGTTTTTTTTTCCTATATATATTTTTTATTTTATTTTGACATAGTTGATTAGGGTAAGAAGGTTCAAGGGCTACAGGAAAGTGGATAATACTAGTATGTTTTCCATATTGTTACCTTCATGTTTAAAGGGGGTATTAAGGGAGAAGGCCCACCCAATTTCCCACCCTCCCCAGGTCCCGGATGTAGGGCATGCTCTGAGGTTCTTGCTCAAGTGGTTTTGATATTGCAACAGTTATGAATTGCTGTCAATCTTGCCACTCCAAGCACTATGAGGTCTTTGAAAAATCCACCGATCGACATAGTCCATCATAGCTGAGATAGTTGGTTGACCTGTTCTGTCTTCTCTCTTTTCCTCACTAGGGTTCTGAGTCCAGCATTTAGATTAGAAAGATCTCCAAAGAAACTTCTTGTATGTGCTAACAAGTACAGGGCCTGGCACCGTCCATCGCTCCAATCAGCTGGTGGTTGCAATTGCTGGGTTGGTTCTGTTTTCACTCCCGACTTCCACTGGAACCAATGGGTGTTGCAGTCCAGCCTGGTTCTGCCCTGCACATACTTGGCCCTCACATAAACCAGTGGGAGCTGCAGCCTAGTTGGAGCGACCCACAATAACCCCCACCAGGCCCACCACCTACCCTGGTTTGCCAGTAAGTGTAGCAGTAATCCAGTCTGTCCCACACCCCATTCCACCCCCGCCGCTATCTTAGTTTTATGTCCTCCTGTGGAAGTGGCAACCCAAGAGGGATGAGCCCACTATTTCCCTCCCATGCCTCTCCCACTCCCAGATTCCAGCTGATGCTGCGTCTAAGCCCAAACAAACCTCGCCCACTTTAATTTTGTTTGCACCAGTAGGAATAATCCGCCCAGCCCAGCTTTTCCCTGATCTAGTCCACATGAGGCGCACAGGTGTGGTAGCTTTGCCTAGTCTGGTCTGCCCCCATCCCAGCCTATGCTCTCCTGCGGAAGTAGCTGTCCAGCAAAGGAACCCTCCCTTATTCCCCTGCTGGCTCTGCCCACTTCCTTTCTTGTTCTCAGGCTGGTTGGACGCTGCGGTCCCTTCCGGTACAGACAACCTCACCTCGGCATTCCATATTGTGCACTAGTCTGTTGCGACCGAACCTGGGTCGACCCACACTGGTGCCTGGATTTGCCAGTGGATGACGTGGACAGATTCAGCCTGGTCTTGCCCCCACGTCTGCCAATTGTATGCCAGTGTGTAGCTTTCCATGGCCTTTTCTGGGCTGTTTCCTATCATGTTTCTTGTGCTGACCTGCTGGGTCTGTGTCCTGCCAGAGGAGTTGCCCAGGCTCCTCCATCAGAACCTCTCCCAATGCCAGGTTTCACGCTTACCAGTGGGTGCATGAGCCAACCCTACTCAGTCCACCTCCTGTCATAGCAGGAACTGTGGCTTTTCCTGACTGGCCTTCCACCCAATCTTGTTCTTGCTGTTGGATGTTTCAGCCCAGCCATGGTTTGTCCATACCCACATATGGCTCATACATGGCTCACAGTAGGGGTTTGAGACCTTGCCTAGTCCATCCCACATCTGCCCTGGTCCTCCAGGACACCAGGAGGTGTTGGGTCCGGCCCGGTTTGGTGCATCCAATCCCAGTCCACACTTGTGCCAAGGGAGACTACAACTGTTTCCAGATCAGAACGCAGCCCCCCTTCCAGGCCACGCGCCTCTTGGTGGGAACCTCAGCCCAGCTAGGGTTGTCCCCTTTGCTCCCCAACCAGGTCTGTTCCCAGCCATAGATCACTTGCCTACCAATGGATGCTCTGACTCAGCTTGGCACAGCCCCTCCCCTGTCCCGAATGCTGCCTTAGACACTGTGGCTTAGCGTCCCTGGCTCCCACAGACCAGTAGGTACAACAGCCTAGCTCGGCATGACCTCTGCCCTCCTGGTTTCTAGTTTTACTTGTGGGCTAAGGTTTGCTCAGTCGTGCCTGATCTACTCTGTTCCCTTACCAGTTGATACATTAGCCAGCTGTTGGAGCTACTTTTGCAGGACAAGCCCCAAGCCCAGGCTTCTGCATGGACTGGTATTTGGTGCTCAGCATTGTTAGTGATTACAAGTTTTACAAAGGAAGAGTTACTGCCTGTTTCAGGTCCAAGAAGCACAATGGGTTCAACCTGGAGCTAATTAAGCAGCAACTCAAAGAACCAAATCCCCAGAGCTCCCTGGCCGGCTGGCCAGCAGGCAGAGCCTGGCACCAAATGGTGCACTGGCCGCCTGGGGAACAGCTCACCATGTGCACATGGCGGCTGTCCGGGATCCAGGCATGAGACGCCCCGTCCTGAGACCCATCCATGGTTTTCATTAAACTTAACATTCATTACCTTCAAAATATAATATCAGTTGTGATCTAAGACAACAAACAGAATTTTTTGGCTGCAAGTGACATTATCTGCTAATAACTTTGAAGCCAGGAGGTTGCTTCTATTCTTATTTGTGACCTTCATTGAACGTGCTGAGTCCTCTATACATGGCTGCTACGATAATTTCAAAACTCCAAGAGGTTATAACTTAGTCTACTTCCCTAGATTTAAGTTATACACATTTACTAATTTTATTAAGAGAGGCCACAGCTGCCATGCTGGTAGACAAGCTTTGATTATATGCAACATTTTTTCCCTAACTTGGAATATTAAATGTTTTTTTTTTTTTAAACAGATGGGTTTTGTTTTCTAAAGATTTATTTTTATTATTTTTTTTATTGGAAAGGCGATATACAGAGAGGAGAGACAGAGAGGAAGATCTTCCGTCCGATGATTCACTCCCCAAGTGAGCACAACGGCCCAAGTGAGCACAACGTCCAATACTATGCT